TGGCAACGGTCAACATGTTCTGTATCTGCGAGTCTGTTTCTGTTCTGCTTGTTGGTTTATTTTGTTGTTCGGATTCCACATATAAGTGAAATCATCTGGCATTTGTCTTTCTCTGTCTGACTCACTTTGCTCAACACCCAACACCATGCCCTTTCGGTCCGTCCGTGTTGTTGCAGACGGCAAGGTTTCATTCTTGTGCATGGCTGAGTCATGTCCCATTGGACATGTGTACCCCTTCTTTCTCCATTCATCTATTTTTTTTTAATCCTCACCCAAGGATATTTTTACTTCAGACAGAGCTGGAGAGAGAGAGGGAGGAAGAGAGAGAGGGGGAGAGAAACATCGACGTGAGAAAGACACATCAGTCGGTTGCCACCCGCACAACTCCAACCAGTGCCAGGGACGAACCACAACAGAGGCATGTGGTCTTGGTTGGAATCGAACCCGAGACTCCTTGGTCCGAGGGCGACGCTCTTACTGCTGAGTCACACCAGCCAGGGCTCTATTCATCTATGGATGGACATTTAGGTTGCTTCCAGATGTTGGCTGTTGTAAATAATGCTGCAATGAACATATGGTTGTATATGTCTTTTTTAGTGAGAGTTTTGGGCTTTTTCAGAAAATACCCAGAAGTGGAATTGCTGGATCCTTCTTGTCTCTTGGTATAGCCTTTGTTTCTATCTATTTTGTGTAGTATGAGTATTACTACCCCAGGTTTTTTGTTTGGTTTCCATTTTCATAAAATATATTTTTTCATTCCTTGACTGTTTTCAGTCTGTGTGTGTCTTTTGACCTGAAGTGAGTCTCTCATACAGAATATACAAGTGTCCTGTGTCGTTATCCATTCAGCCTCAGCATGTCTTCTGATTGGAGCATTTAATCCATTTGCACTTAAAGTAATTATTCATAGACATGTATTTGTTGCCTTTTATTATGCATATTTTTTCTCTTTTTTTATTTACTTCTTCTTCTTCTTAAAGAAGACCCTTTAACATTTCTTGTAATGCTGGTTTGGCGGTAATGAATTCCTTTAGCTTTTTCTTGTCTGGAAAGTTATCTGTTTTTTGATTCTAAATGAAAGCTTTGCCCATAGACTAATCTTGGTTGTAAGTCCTTGATTTTTATCACTGAATATTACTTGCCAATCCCTCCGGCCTGCAAAGTTTCTGTTGAGAAATCAGCTGACAGTCTTATGGGAACTCCCTTGTAGGTAATTAACTGCTTTTCTTGTGCTACTTTTAAGAGTTTCTCTTTGTCTTTAGTCTTTGGCATTTTAATTATGATGTGTCCTGGTGTGGGCCCCTTTGGGTTCATCTTGTTTGAGATCCTCTGTGAGGAAGTGATTTTTTAAAGTGACTGTTTTCCCTTCTAAACTCTAAAGCCTATTGGTTTTGGGGTCTGAGGAAATGCCAATCAGACTTTTCTGTCTGGCCAACGTGGCCACTGGTCTCCTTCAGCCTGGTCGAGCCTGGCCTCCCTGACGGCTGCCCTTTGCCAGGAGGCAGGGGCCGTGCAGGGCCAGGGCAGGGGCCGTGGTGATGCAGGGCCTGGCTGCTAGGGAGGGGCGGGGGGCCGCCAAGGGCGTGGTGCCTGGTGTCGGGGTTAAACAGTACCTGCTGGCTCTCGGTACTGGCGGTTCCTGGGTCCGAAGCCATCACTGTCGTGACCCCTCACTGGCAGCCTTGGCCACACACGACATCTTCCCTTCACCTCCAGGGTTGGCCAGGTCCCTTCGGAAGGACCCCCTGTCCGTTCAGCCTTGTCCTCCACCATGGCTTCCTGCAGCCTCAGCCTGACTCCTCGAGACAGCTGACTCCGTTTCCCCTTACAACAGGAGCCCCCCGAGTGCCCGTCCGATGTGGGGGCTCCCCATGTGCCTGAAGGGATCTGACCTCTCGGGAGGGGGCACGAGCCCCAAGGAAAGCCCAGATGAAGGTAGGGGTATGGAGTAACCTGGGGCTTGTGGGAAGAAAGTTGGCCTCCTCCTGGCCACCCCCTCGGGCTCAGATGTTGACTGCAGCCCAACTCAAGTCCCAGCTGTTAGAGACTGGCCAAGAGTAGGGTCACAGTGAGATGACACAGGGGACCAGGGCCAGCCCTGAGCAGTGACAATCATGGTCTCCTGAGGCAGGGGGTGGGGCTGGGCTCACCCACTGGGCCTGGCTCGTGGCAGGTACTCCCTGCAGTGGGGCACAAATAGGCTGTGTCTGTGTGTGGCCATCACAGGGGCGAAGAACTGCAGGTCAGCACAGTGCCCGGCAGTGTGTTCTGAAAGTGTCTGGACCTCAACCACAGGCCCGCTTCCAGCCTCTGCCCTCCCCCCTGTCCCAGCCTCTCCTCTCCCCTCACCCTCGCCTGACCCTCCCCATTTCTTCGTCTTCCTTTCCTCTTCTTGGGAGCTGTAGTGGGTTGAATAGCATCTCCCAAAATATGTCTAGAGACTCCAGTCGTGGCCTTATTTAGACATGGCATCCCTGCAGAAGTGATTAGTGAAGACAAGGTCACCTGGGTGGGGCAGGCCCTAAATGCAATGATGTCCTTATAAGAGCAGCAGACACAGAAGGGCCCCCTCAGAGCCCAGGGAACCAGCCCCGCCCACAGCTTGACCTGGACCTCTGGCCTCCAGGCTGGGAGGGAGTGGACCTCCATTCTGAGCCCCCCAGGCCCTCCCCGGCCCTCCCCGGCCCCTGCCGGAGCGCAGGCCTCAGCAGCAAGGTGTGTCCCTCTCTGGCCCCGCAGTGAGCAGATGCCGGACAGAGGCCCTCACTGCTCACCAGCCTGGGTCCTGGGCCCAGCAGCTTCCCACTCCTGGTTTGCTCCCGTCCCGCCCTGGGGTCAGGGAGACAGCGAGAGGGGACTCAGCCTGGCCTGCTGAGAGCGGGCGTCCTCGCTCTCCCGTCCCTTGCCCCTGGTCAGTTCCTTTGGGACGTTTGAAGCACTCCTACAGCAGCTGTGCTGAGAACTAGCTCCCTCGCTTAGGTCATCAGCATTCTGAGTCACCAACTGCCTCCCCATGCCTTTTGGGGGATTACTCCCCCTCAGCCAGTCCCTGCCCTGGGACCCTCCCCTTCCTGTTCCGCTCCTCCCGCAGCTCTAGCCCCTGCCCCAGGCAGATTCAAGGTCAAGGGGCAGGGACTCCTGCAGATGAGTCAGTCCCCAGGGGAGGGGCAGAGCCTGTGCTCAGACCACAGGGCTGATGGAGTGGGACAGGGAGGACTTGGGGGAGAGAGGGGCCAGGGGAGGGAGGATAGTGAGAAGGAAGGACAGTGGGGGAGGGAGGGAAGAGGGGGAAGGAGACACCGGAGGGAGGCAGGAGGGAGGACCTTGGCTAGTTCTTGGCCCAGATATTCCTCATAGCCCCATGGCCCAGATCAAGGTCCTTAGCCTCTGATCCTGTGGTGCCAGGTCCTGCCACAGGTTTGCTGGTCAGGAGCCCACACAGCCCCTTGGAGAAGCACGCGCAGCTTCTCAGTGCTGGTGCTTAGCCCAGCTCGTCTCCAGGGAGCCTGCTCTCCTCCCAACAAGGGCCTGTGCCAGGCGCCCCTCCCCAGAGCTCGGCAGATGGACAGGAGGCCCCTGGGTTCTTCTTCCTTTTTGTTTTATCCTCGCCCAAGGGCATTTTTCAATATTTTTGTTCAGACAGAGTGGGAGGGAGAGAGAGAGAGAAACATCGACGTGGAAGGGACCCATCGAGTGGCCGCCACCTGCATGACCCAACCAGGGCCGGGGACAAACTGCAACCGAGGTACGTGCCCTTAGCGGGAACCGAACCCGGGTCTCTCTGGACGGCAGGCCGACGCTCTAACCGCTGAGCCAAACTGGCCAGGGCAGGCCCCTGGGTTCTTGACATTAAAGACCCGCTGGCTCCTCGGACGGGTCCACCCTGCACACTCGTGAGCTGCCTGACCCGCTCTCCTCACAGAAGTCCCCCAGCTGGATTCGAGGAGAGTGGCGGCCGTCTACCAGTCCCTCTGACACTCAGCGGCTGGGAGCCTGGGGTACTGGAGACCAAGGGGGAGGCTGTCAGTGTAGACGGGGGTGGGGACGAGGACAGGGTGGGCAGGGGCAGCCGTGGGGAGGACCACAGGGGGAGGGGGTAAGACTACCCCTCTTCAGCCCCTCATGACCTTTGGGCTGGGGGGGTCAGTCACCAAGCACAGGACTGTCTCAGCTGAGATAAGAACTCTGCCTCCTCCGTGGAGGAATCTTCTGGAAAGCTGGGCTTCGAGGGAAATGAGGCTGAGACGCAGCTCTGCGGGGCCAGGGAGCCCGGGCTGCCGGTCTCCCCCAACCAGCATCGCCCCGGGGCCCCGGACAGAGCCGGGCAGCCTCTCCTGTGGCGCCCAGGCCAGCAGGGGTCCCAAAGCAGCTGCCCACCCCACAGTGGGTGAAACGGACGGGCCGTGGTAGCCAAGGTCACAGGGAGTGTCTGAGCAGCAGGGGCCACAGGCAGACTCTGTCCCAGCCACCTTGCCTCCTCCCTGTGCTCCTGACAAGCCGTCCCAGACGTGTCTCGGCTCCCCCTCACGGGGTGTTGACTGCTCACCTATGTGCTGGGCGGTGCAGGAGCCACGGGCACCCCGAGACCAGGATTCCAACAGCTCGGGACCCCGCAGCACCGGCGCCCAGTGCATGAGCCGGGAGCCCAGCCTCTGCGGCCAGGCCCCGGGCTGTGCTGGGCAGGCGGAGGCAGCCCTGACCTGGCTGCCAGGCCCAGCGCGGTCGGCCGGACCCGGGGCTCCACCTGCCCTGCCCAACCTGTGAAAGTGGCCTTGGGGGGCACGGACCTACCCCTGTACTGACCTTTGGGGGGACACTGCTCTGTGTGTTTCCGGACTTCGAGCAATGTCCCGCCTTCTACACACGGAGGCCAGCTGCAACCCTCCAGGGAGACAACTAAAATGTCCCGGGACCTTGCCCAATGTCCCCTGGGAGACAGAACTCCCCCAGGGTGAGAACCTGCAGTAAGGACAAACTGAGCCACCAAAGCCACCACCATAGCTTATATTCTCTTAAATTGGGTTTGTGGGGACAGATGTCAAGCACAGGCGTTCGGCCCATGTACAGCATAGCACGAGAGGGGGCTGGGAGCACAAGCCTAGGGGACAGGACGTGTGCTGTGTCCCAGAGGCCGGTCCACTCTCCCCAGGCCCAGGGCGGGCTGCCAGGCTGTGGCTGAGGGTTGTCAGGGACCAGCGGCCACATGACAAACCCAGGAGCCCCAGGTCAGCACGGTGCGGGGAGAGGACTGAGGGGCGCCCCCCCAGGCGCAGGGGCGACAGGGCAGAAGCAGGAGAGCCGTCCTCTGCTGCCTCCCCTCCGGAGGAAACCAGCTTCTGGCAGGAGAATCGGGACCAGATTCAGCTTCCCTGTGGCTGCCCCCACCCCCCGGCAGGGCGCGGTCCCGGCCGAGCACCCCCGGGGCCCCTCAGGGTCTGGGGGTGGAGGACGGGCACCACACCAGTGCTTCTTTGCCCCAAATACCAGTTAGTGACCTTTCTGTCACTCTTTTAGGGATGACATGTGCATCCTAATGCTTTCAACTTAAAAGTCTGGGTTCCTTGTCCTGCTCATTTAAAAGCCACGAGGGCTTTTATCTCCAAAGACAAACGAGGGCTTTCTTGTGATGAGTGTTGGACTGGGCTTCACCACGGAGCCTGGTCCTCACTTCTGCTCCAAGTCTGGGTCTGGGGCCCATCAGTGCTGAACGACCACGGGCGGAACCACAGGCTGTTTCCCTGGGTGTGCACACCTGGGTTATCTGGCAGCCTCCTTTGCAGAACCTTCTGGAAACATTAAACTGCAAGAGTCGTTCCAGGCAACAACATGGAAACTGCTGGGGGGCCAGGACCACGCCCACCTGCCGTCACCTGGGGGGTCCGGTGGGCTCCGAGGAACCCGGTGTTTGCATCAAGGTCTCCGTCAGAGGCCCTGGCGACAGCAGGGGCGGCAAGGAGCTGCCCAGCCCACATTTCGAGGAAATTCCTGTGCGTCCCGACAGGCTGCCGCACCGCGGAGTGCCCTCTCGGTCCCCGTCACGGCCCCGCTCTGAAGGACATCGGCGATCACATGTCCAAGCCCGCGGCCGCTGGAAACGCCTGTTCTCGCGCCTCCCGAGCCACAGCTCTCCTGCTGCAGACGGAGCCTGGGCCCGTGGCGTCAGCCCTCCACGGAAGCCACTGTGCTGTCACAGGAGGGGAACCAGCTTTTCACCAGAGCAGTGGAGGCCGCTTCCTTCCCGGAGAATCGTCGAGAACCCGCGGGCCTCAGAGTTGGCCATTTCCATTCCCTGCATTCGGGACGTGCACCCCGCAAACACCCTCCGGCACCCTCAGGCCGCCCCAGGAGAGAGGCGCCTTCCCTCTTCTCCCCACAGGGGCGCCACCTCCTGCCAGCCAGGCTCCGAGCCCTGGCCCCGCCGTGTGCGGCTGGGACAGGAGAGCGCGCCAAGGCCTCCTGGGGGCTGGCGGTGGGAAGGAGCCACCTTGAGGTCCTTTCTGCTGTGTTTGGCAGTGAAGATGGGGTGCCCGCCTTCCAAAAGGGCCTAGCTCGGGAGGGCAGCTCAAGGCACTTCTCCCTGGGGTCAAGGGCAGTCTTTCCAGCGGGGGCCCCTGCATGTCCCCTCCAAGGCCAGAGAGGCTTCGTGTCCATGGAGCCCCCGTTAATGGCCTAGGCTGACGGCGCCCCTTTGTCCCCAGCCTGCTGGAGTCATTCCTCAAGCAGCCATCTGATGTCCCTTGTCCACATCCAAGCTCTGGTCAGACATGGTCTTGGAAGGAAAGAGAAGAGACGGGGGTGTGAAATTCTGTGCCTGCTCATTGTCATTCTGGAGACGCGAGGTTTTCTCAGGACTCAGGCTGGTGAGTGGGGCTCAGACGGGGCGGTTATTTGCCTAAGGTGTCAAGCAAGGGCTGCCCTGATACAGAGCGGTCTGGGGCACCTGCTGGTGGGAAACGAGTCTGTGCATTAATATATCCCCAAACGGGGGTGGCAGTCACAGTGACCTTTGCTCCCAGGACTGTGGGGTCCTTGCTCGGATCCCCCGGATAACTGGGAAGGACTCCGTATCTGAACTCACTCAAGACCCCTGTGGGACTGGGCGGGAGGGGGGGGCGTATGCACAGAGGCAGTGACCATGGGGAGTGGAAGGTGCGTGGCCTCGTCCTGCTTCCTCTCCCTGACCTGCGTACGTTTAGAAAGTCAGTAACCCATCCGGCCGGTGTGGCTCCGTGGTTGAGCATCGACCCACACACCAAGAGGCTGCCGGTTCGATTCCCGGTCAGGGCCCAGGCCCAGGTTGTGGGCCCAATCCCCAGTGGGGGGCGTGCAGGAGGCAGCCAATCAATGTTCTCTCTCATCGATGTTTCTATCTCTCCCTTCTCTCCCTCCCTCTCCCTTCCTCTCTCTCTAAAAATCAATAAAGGAAAAAAAAAAAAAGAATGGCAAAAATCCTACTTCAAAAAGAAAAAGGAAGTCAGTAACCCAACATCAGTAAGCGGCCACCCGGACAGGGCTACGCGTTTAAGGGGGCCAGTGGAAAAGGCCTTCACTTGGGGGTTTCAGTGTCTCTGAAAATAGAAGCACGCATGTCCTCGTCACCAAGTATTGCTCATGCCAAGTGGCAGCCACAGGAAGTGGCTGCCAGCCTCCCGGGCTCACATAACCTGCACACCTTCTCCCCAAGCCTCCTCCCCTCTGGGCAAACTCACCCGTGAACCCCAGCTCCGGCCTCAAAGCCTGGGCACCTGTTGAAACAAACCAGAAATGCTCAGGGTGGCAGTGAAGGGTGGGGAGGGGCCAGTCTAAAGATCCCAGGGTCCAGACTGCTGGGGCCAGGAACAGACTCCCCGGGGTGCCCCCCAGGATCCCTGCATCCAGGGCAGGTGCTGTATGAGGAAGTGTGGGAAGCTCAGGAATGCGCTCTGCGGCCTGGCCGATGAGCAGCTCAGCTGCCATGGAGATGAACTCCATCCTGACCTCCCACCAAACCTGGGGGACGGTGTCATGAACATGGAGCCTCAGACCTCAGGTTTCAAATCCACATGAGGGAGCTTTGGTGGAGCTATGCACGCTCAGGACGTAAAACTGCACTTAAGCGGCTGGCTGGGTGCTCAGTGGTCAGAGCATCGGCCCTTGGAGCAAAGGGTTGCAGGTTCGATCCCCAGCCTTAGTCCGGGTTGTGTGGGAGGCAAGCAATCCATATGTCTCTCTCCCATCGCTGTTTCTCTCCCTCTCTCCCTCCCTCCCTCCCTTTCACTCTATCTAAAAATCAGTGGGAAAAATGTCCTTAGGTGAGGATTAACAATATTTTAATAAGATAAAAAAACTGCACTTTAAATGAAACCAACTCCTTGCAGAGCTGTGACATCTTGAAAAAGGCAAAAATGCTGACTCCCATCAAATAAACACCAACCAGCCACATGTGCGCCCTCCGGTACCTGTATAGTTCTTGCCCGGACACCGGCTCCGGCACCACCAGCCTGCGGCCGCTGCCACCACCACAGTCAGCAGCAAAGTGATCGCGGCCACCATGGCCCTGGTTCTGTCCGGGTGGGTGTCAGGTAGCACCTCGGTGTCGTTACCTTTGAATGTTTCTACTAGAGAAAAGGAAATAACCTGAGACTTAGAGGGGAAGGAGGAAAGGGTCTTTTTTCATCATGAAGAAGAAAGTACCACATGAAGTATTAATTCCAAAGAACTTCCCTGACATCATGTTGTGATTTTTACAATATAAAACTGGTGCCCGGGACTTCTGGTCAGGATGGTGGCGGTAGGTAACGCAGTGTCGTGCCCTCCCACAACCACACCAAAGTTACAGCTGAACTACAACACAACCATCATTCAGAACCGCCTGACATCGAACTGGATGGAAGTCCTACAACTACGGAATTAAAGCAGCAGCCACATCCAGACTGGTAGGAGGGCGGAGGGGATGGGCTGGTCCCACACCCACGTGTGGCGGATAAAAATCAGGAGGACACCTCAGCTGGGAAGGTCCGCCCTGAGGACTGAGGGTTCTCCGTCCCACACCAGGCGCCCAGCTCAGGGTTCCAGTGCCAGGAAGAGAATCTCCATAACTTCTGGCTGGAAAACCAGTGGGAACTGAGGCTCAGGGAGGCTGACGCAGCTGGAGCCCCAGGCAGCTCCTTAAAGGGCCCGCGCACGGACTTATCCGACTCTCTCCCTCTAAGCTCGGAGGGGAGGCAGCTCAAGGGGCACCAGAGACATACAGGGAAGAACTGAGCTGTTTGGCACTGGAGCGAGGGCTGGAGAGGGGGCTTTCTCCGGGACAGACGTGCTGTCAGAGGCCTTTGTTCCTTTGGTGAGCCCTTCCCTGGGGCGACAGACAGCCGCCATATCTGGGACTCCAGCAACCTGCTCACACTGGTAGCCCCGCCCTGGTGATTCCCTGAGGCCCCGCCCCACCCCACCCAACTTTCAGGCCCACCCAAGCTGTTGCCAGTTGCTTCACCATAGGATTGGTCTTGGATCCTGCTTCAGGTTTTCCTAAATTCTTTCAAACAAGTAGCATCTGGTCTCAGCTAGCCCCTCGTTAAGTAATACACAGAAACAAACACAGGGAGGCAACCAAAACGAGGAGACAAAGAAACAGGTCCCAAATGAAAGAACAGAACAAAACCCCAGGGAAAGAACTAAGCGAAATGGAGATAAGCAACCTAACAGATGCCGAGTTCAAAATACTGCTTATAAGGATGCTCAATGAACTTAGTGAGGGCCACAAGAGCATAAAAAAGGACCAGTCAGAAATGAAGGAGGCACTAACTGAGATAAAGAATAATTTACACAGATTCAATAGTAGAGTAAGTAAAGCCAAGAAGCAAACCATTGATTTGGAATATAAGGAAGCAAAAAACACCCAATCAGAACAGCAAAAAGAAAAAAGAATCCAAAAAAAATGATGATAGTGTAAGGAGCCTCTGGGACAACTTCAAGCGTGCCAACATTTGCATCTTGGGGGTGCCAGAAGGAGAAGAGAGAGAACAAGAAATTGAAAACCTATTTGAAACAATAATGCCAGAAAACTTCCCCAACTTGGTGAAGGAAACAGACATACAAGTCCAGGAAGCAAAGAGAGTCCCAAACAAGATGAACCCCAAGAGGCCCACACCAAGATGCATCATCATCAAAATGCAAAAGGTTCAAGACAAAGAGAGAATCTTAAAAACAGCAAGAGAAAGGCAGCTAGTTACCTACAAGGGAGTTCCCATAAGACTGTCAGTTTATTTCTCAAAAGAAACTTTGCAGGCCAGAAGGGAGTGGCAAGAAATATTCAGAGTGATGAAAAGCAAGAACCTACACCCAAGATTACTCTATCCTGCCAAGCTGTCATTTAGAATCGATGGCCATATAAAGACTTTCCAGACAAGAAAAAGTTAAAGGAGTTCATCACCACCAAACTGTTATTATATGAAATGTTGAAGGGTCTTTTTGAAAAAAAGATAAAATATATGAACAAACAAAATGGCAATGAATACATATATATCAACAGTGGAATCTACAGACAAAATGAACAGGCAGAACAGAAACATTCTCCTAGAATGGGCTTCTGTCTTCTGTCTGAGAGCATCTTCCATCACCCCAGGCCCACAACCCTGGGTTGGGGTCGGCGTGCAGACCCCAGGGGACCTTACTTATCCCGGTGTGGCTGGCGACAGTCAGGTTCTGGTGCAGAAGCACGTTCTCGATGCAGCAGCCGACGTTCACGTTGGGGGTCCGCCGGATCCTCAGGACGCTGACCACGTCGTACAAGCCCCGCGCATTGAGGGAGACCGTACTGTTCTGCAGGGCCTTGTCCAGCAGGCTGTTGTCCGTCCGGTTGATCCAGTACACGTTTGGCCAGGGATAGCCGTCTGTGGACGTGCAGGTGAAGGTGAGCTCCTCATCCTCGGGGGCGTTGTCGGGCGTGCTGACCACGGGCATGCTGTAGTTTGCTGCCGGGAAGGAATGGGGGTGAGGGATGCCAGGTTCTGAAGGTCAGAAGGGGAGGGGTGCCCAGTGCCCAAGGCCAGGTTACAGGGGTGGTGGCCTATCATGCCCCTGACCCTGGTGGAGAGGAAGAAACAGGATTATGGTCTGGGCATCGGGCACTGGCCTTGTTCTGCCTAAGAGTCACCTCTCCACCCCCAAAAGGGGAGCTACAGAGCCTGGGGGCAGTGACTGGCACCCACTCCCCGCTCCAAAGAGCTCAGTAGTGACACGGAGAGCTAGCAGTCGTCTGAAATGAACACAGCCTGTCTCTGAGCATCTGAACATCTTCATTGACTTTAATTTTCCTCCCAAATTCTGATCTCAAAGTTGCCTAGTAGCACTCCTTCCTAACTCTATTTTTTTACATTTATCTTCAGACAGAGTGGGAGGGAGAGAGAGAAACATCGATGTGAGAGAGACACACTGACTGGCTGCCACCTGCATGACCCCAACTGGGGCTGGGGACTAACTGCAACTGAGGTACATGCCCTTGGCCAGAATCGAACCCGGGATTTCTTGGTCTGCAGGCCAATGCTCTAACCGCTGAGCCAAACTGGCCAGGGCCTAACTTTACTTTTTTTTTTTTTTTAATTTTTTTTTTTTTTTTTTTTTTATCCTCACCCGAGGATATTTTTCCATTTTTTGTACAGATAGAGTGGGAGGGAGAGAGAGGAAGGGAGAGAGAGAGAGAAACATCGACGTGAAGGGACACATCGAGTGGCTGCCACCCGCACGACCAACCAGGGCCAGGGACAAACTGCAACCGAAGTACGTGCCCTTAGCGGGAACCGAACCCGGGTCTCTCCGGACCGCAGGCGGACGCTCTAACCGCTGAGCCAAACCGGCCAGGGCCTAACTTTACTTTTAAAACCTAGTTTGAGTCGAGTTGGCGCATTCAAGGCAAAGATGGCCAGACTGGGAGTATCTCTGTGAAACCAGAGAGCACAGGTTCCAAAAAACTCTCTCAGGAGTTGAATGATGTTTCAACCAACGCAGCTTCCTGCACAGTTAACCAGAAGGCTGCTGGTGGAGAAGGGGCTTTCTTCCTGGGAAGAAACAGGTGACTGAGCCAGGAAATGGTCTCATTCCTGCTTGCTCCGGGTCGTACCCTGGGGTGCAGTCGGCGGTCAGCAGGGACGCTCTTACCTGCCACATGCAGTGTCACCACAACATGCAAGATCTTCACTAATTTACTAAACACCAGGCAGTTAAACTTCTGTTCGTCTTGGGGGGTGATGTTGTACAGATGGACAGAGAAGTCGCCCTGCTTCATGCTGTCCAGGGACAGCTGGGCCCGATCCTTGTAGTGGTTATTGCCATGGCCTGCGGAGCTGTTCCCGGACAGGTAGTAAGTCACAGTTTCCGGTTTTTCAGTCGCACCAATTTGCCAATAAACAAACAGTTCATTCAAATCAAAAGTCTTTTCTTCGGTGGAAATGCAGCTGAGCTTGACGTTGCTGCCCACCATGGCTCTGACTTCTTCTTGAATAACTGCAACGATTTGAAAAGCACATTTATTTTCTGAGTTGACTCCTTGGTTGCAAAGTTCGGGGGGGGGGATTTGAGGGGGCCCTCTCAAATACCAATTCTGACTCATTTCAGTAGAAAAAGAATGTATTCATAAAATACACGCAGGAAGGCAGTATTTTAAAAAGTCAGAATGTGCCTGGTTGGTGCGGCTTAGTTGGTTGAGCACCGTCCTGGGCATCAAGAGGTCGCCAGTTGATTCCCAGTCAAGGCACATGCCCGGGGGGTTCAGGCTTGATCTCCAATAGGGGCCCTGCAGGAGGCAGCCAATCTGATCAACGTTTCTCTCTCTTCGATGTTTCTCTCTCTCTCTCTCAAATCAATAAAAACATATTTTTAACTTTTTTTTTTTTTTATCCTCACCCGAGGACATTTTTCCATTTTTTGTTCAGATAGAGTGGGAGGGAGAGAGAGGAAGAGAGAGAGAGAGAAACATCGATGTGAAGGGACACATCGAGTGGCTGCCACCCGCACGACCAACCAGGGCCGGGGACAAACAGCAACCGAGGTACGCGCCCTTAGCGGGAACCGAACCCGGGTCTCGCTGTACCGCAGGCCGACGCTCCAACCGCTGAGCCAAACTGGCCAGGGCTATTTTTAACTTTTTTTTCCCTCATTGATTTTTTTTTTTTTTTTTAGAGAGAGATAGAAACATCAATGAGAGAGAACATCGATTGGCCACCTCCTGCATGCCTCTCACTGGGGATCGGGCCCACAACCTGGGCATGTGCCCTGACCAGGAATCAAACCAGCGACCTCTTGGTGCAGGGTCGACGCTCAAGCACTGAGCCACACCGGCCGGATTCAATAAAAACATATTTAAAAATAAAATAAAAATAAAAAATACAGATTTGTGGTAAGGTGCTGCGATGTGTTGTCTGATGCTGATTTCCTGTCTGTACGTAAGAAGCTAGTGCTGGGAGAAGCAGGGTGGGCACGGGGACCATGTTACACTCTTGTTGCTACTTCTCGGGAGTTTATGATGAATTCGAACGAAAAAGATTTTGTAAAAACTTAGACATTTAAAAGCAAACATCGGTTTCTTAACAACAGCTTTATAATGCTGCTGGCCCCGTGCCAAGACAGGCCCATGTGCCGTGTCCATCTGTCCAGACACCTGGATGCCTGCAGGAAGAGTGGCACGTCCCCCGCCCGCACCCTCCGGGCTGGAAGGCTCGCGAGCTGCAGGATGCATGCGTTCCTTGCTCTTCTGGAACCTGCCTGGGGTGGGGGCCCGCCCTGGGAGGCAGAGGACCGAACCACTCGGGGGAAGTGCATCCCTCCTCCGCCTCGCACGTGACGAAACAAGGGCATCTGGACAAGCATCCCCTTCGGGCTTTCAGGCCTTCACATTGCCCAGGCGTGGGGGTCAGCTTCCTCACGGGTCCCTGGCACAACAAGAAGGGCTCCGGCAAGGCCCCTGTGACCCTGCACCCCCTGGGCCACTCTCCAGACTGAAGGGCTTGGACCTGGCCTCGGGCCAGGAGGGCTGTCGGACTTACCGGCGTGCAGGCCGCTGAGCAGCAGGAGGAGAAGGCCGGCACTGGAAAGGAACCAGAAAGGCAGGTGAGTGCCACTTCTTCCCGAAGGTGAAGGCTGCTCCTCATGGGCAGGAGTAGACTGCACCCATCGCAGAAAAGCGAACACATCCACTGACAGCCGGCCCGCCCGCCAGGCCCCTGCAGCGGGATTAACCCACCTGCCTGCCCGGCACAGCAAGTCCTGGGGCCAGCAGCCCCTGCAACCAGCCAGCCCTCAAGTGAACCTCCCAGAACAAGGATGAGAGTGTGACAAAGGAGAGTGAAAGGTACTACCAAGGTCATGGCCTTCGACCTCCTGGGGCCCTAGCCACGCAGGGAGGGATAGATTCCAAGAAATTGTATGAAATCAGAAAACACCACACACACACACACTTTCAGAATATTAATAGCAAGAGCTGCATTTAATTTGGGGGAGAAAGAGAAGACCAAAGATGCCCAGAGGCAGTCTGTGAGTGGCAAGGCAGCCCTCTGAGGAACGAATTCATTCTGAAACCAAATCGGGAGGCTCCTCCCAGCTGCTGGGCAGAGGGGCTGTCAGGAGTGAAAACTTCAGACTTCCGAGGCTCCTGGCACCCTTCAACCTAGCCACCCCCCCTGCTGGCCTCCCAAGATGCCATGTGTCCTGAGCTCCGGACAGAGACCCCCGCCCCACCCCTGAGAGCTGTCATCTGACTCTCCATAGAGACCTGTCCCTTGCCACCAGGGGCTTCCCCACACCCCCAGAGGCCACAGCCTGCAAGTGGGCTGTCCTCTCACAAACCATTCCTGGTTGTGGGGACTGCTGTGATAACCTCTACCCCCAGCCTTGAGCCCTCCAGCCATCTTCCTCTGAGCCAGAGCAACCTTCTAAAATACAGAGCTATGCCCTGGCCGGTTTGGCTCAGCGGTTAGAGCGTCGGCCTGCGGTCCAGAGAGACCCGGGTTCGGTTCCCTCTAAGGGCATGTACCTCGGTTGCAGTTTGTCCCCGGCCCTGGTTGGTCGTGTGGGTGGCAGCCACTCGATGTGTCCCTTTCACGTCGATGTTTCTCTCTCTCTCTCTTCCTCTCTCTCCCCCTCCCACTCTTTCTGAACAAAAAATGGAAAAATGTCCTCGGGTGAGGATAAAAAAGAAATACAGAGCTATGAAAACTCATCGTGGCCCCCATTTCTCTCCCATGGAGCCCACCCAGTGGGTGCTCACAAGGCTCGCCCTGTCTGTGTTCAGGGTTCCAGGGCGCATGCATGCACCTGTCAGGGCCACTTCGGGGCATCTGGGCGCAAGCCCTAGGTTCCTGCAGGGGATACAATGTGTCCCCATCCTGGGTGCTGCCTGCCTGCAGGCCTCTCTGTACCCTCTCCTTGGGTGGTCCTCTGACACCTGCTGTCAAAAACTACTGACCCAGCCTCAGGCCCACCATCCCTGCCTCTGGCCCAGCCCACCCTCCTGGGGTCAGACGAAGGCACAGACAGGGCCATGGCTCCCAGATGGGAGTGGCTGGTGGCTATGACATACTAGTACTTGTTCGAGGAAACAGAATAGCCTAAAACTACCCACATTTCTAACTGGGAGGACTGGGCTGCAGGACCCAGGTGTGGGCAGCCTTTTGGGCTGTGTGGGTAGAAAACCTGGGGACCAGGTGCCTCAAGAGAGGCACAGGCTGTTAACCCTACAACGTGCCCTGAAGGTGGTACTGTGGCAAAAGGAAAGCTGTCCACCCTCAGGCTGGCAGGAGAGCAGAAGTGATGAGCTGGACCCAGGCAGTGTGGTTATGCTAATGGCGGAGGGGAAATCCCTGGTGTGCGGGAGTGGGAGTGGGAGTGGGCACCAGCTGGCCTGCGAGGTATCATATCCTTCGCTCTCCACCTTGGGGCAGTCCTCTAGGGACAGGGTAGGGCAGTGGGTGGGAGGGGAGTGGGGGAGGGGTAGTGAGCGCTTTCCCTTCCCTTCCCAGGGACCCCGCCCCCAGCACACCCACGCACCGGTCCCCATGCCTGGCCCTCCCCACACCGTCCCTGGGCAAATGCCACCGGCTGGCAGGTAATCGCGGCCGCCAGCCTTTCCCGATGCCGCCTGGCTCTCGGCTCCCCACCCTCCGCACAGATCCCGCCGCTGCGTCGCCAGGTGATCAGGTCCCGGCCGCGGCCACCAGGGCGCACTGGGTCGGTCCCTCCCGGTCACCCAGCTCCCTACTGTGGCGCCTCCGCTTCTTCCACGGCTCCCCCAGGGCCCGACCGACGGCCTCTCACCTTCTTAGCCTCATGGTGGAAGCGAAGACCGCGGGGAGCGGGAGACCTCGGAGCGCTGGAGACCTCGCGCCACGGCAGCCCAGCTCCAGCTGCGCGCCGACTCCGCTCCGCAGGTTCTGAGGGTGGGGCGGCAGTGGCCAGCTGCCTGGGGCCTTGGCCCCGCCCCGCCCCGCCCCTGGCTCCACCCCGCAGTGCCCGGGCCGGCCTCCTCGGAACTGAAACTAGACGGGTGCAAGTTGGACCCCGGGCGCGCTGGGCCACAGGCCAGAGTGCTCGTTGGGCCCACTGGGCGCAAGGCCACGGGCTGGGTGCCGCAGGTGCCGGGAAGTTGCGGGGAGTACGGTACCAGGGAGGAGGGCGGCCAGGGGCGCTGTGGAAGGGCTTGCCAGGACGGAGGGGCCTTAGAAGGCTAGTGCTGCTTCCCAGTATCGCACAGACCGCCCCTCGGCCCCAGTGTCCCTGCCCTAGGCTCCCTCCCGTCCTCCTGCCCTCCCTCCCTCAGCACCTCCAGCTCTCAGGACTCCGCGTCTGTTCTGGAACGAACGAATGATGGGAAGGCAGGCGGGAAGGCAGGCTGGCTCTGCCGTCCAGTGCAGCCCTGGGTCCCCCAGCTCTGCTCTCCGATCCCGTGCGGGACCTGGCCACGTGCCGCAGCATGTTTGCCTAGTAGAGGCTCCGAGAAGCCCGCAGGTGGAAACCACTTCAACTCCTCCAAGTTGGCCAGACCAGGCAGGCACTCCTGTTTTCTGGTCTGGGAAGGGCTACCCAGGTGGCAGAGCTCTGTTAAAGTGTTTGCTCCCTTCCCCCACCCCACACAGCCCTTTGGGTCTCTTTCTGGGTCCCCCTGAATCGGTGCTCCACCTCTTGCCACCCCCCCCCAGGTTGGTGACAATGAGGTGAGGGAGGTGGGGACACCGGGGACTAGATGCCCTCCCTACGGAGAGCTTCAGGAAGGGCCTGGGGTCCAAGGTCCTCAGCCAGGTTTGGAGGCCCTTGTCCCGGTGGAGCAGGCTGGAGAGGTGTATCCAGACACTCAGGCTGAGTCCGGAGTCCCAGGCAGAGGCCGGCCCCTGGGGGACAGGAGGGGCCAGTGTAAGGCGAGGGCAGAGCCAAGGGGGGCTTCCCTGACCTTCTGCAGGCTGTCATTCATCCAACAAAGATCTTGTGCGCAGCAACTCCTTCTGGCCAGGTCCTCCGCGAGTCCCAGGAAAAAGCTTTAAAAAAGGCAGACGTGCCCGGCAGGTGTGGCTCACAGGCCCACGTGTGGGCCAAATCCCCAGTGGGGGCATGCAGGAGGCCGCTGATCGGTGTTCTCTTTCATCGATGTTTCTGTCTCTCTTCCTCTCCCTTCCTCTCTCTAAAATCAGTGAAGGGGAAAAAAAGGCAGACTCTCTGCCGGTGGGAGTTACCATTCCTTCGGAGACAAGAGCAAACAAGACAGGGAGTAAGCCGGCTGGACTGGGGGCTGGGCGCTGGTGCAGAAGAGGACGTGGAGCCTCGGGCTGGCTGCCAGGAGGGTGGTGGACTTGCCGTTCCAAAGCCTGGGCTCCACCCGCCCACATCAGGCTGGGAGACCGTTGTGGGATGTAAAGAGACGAGGCGGGGGCCAGCCTCCCTTTTAGCCTCGGAGACCAGGGTGCCTGGGGGCCGGGCCGAGCTCTTTTCTTGTGTCCCGCGAGAGCAGGGACAGTCTGAACTGGAAGGTGGGGAGGGCGGGCAGTGTCCTGCCGGGGACCGGAGATGGGAGCGGGAGGAAAGATAAGATTTGGCTCGGAGAGCAGGGCATGGGCATACATCAAATGGGGGGGCGTCTCAGGACTCACCCCATTCCTGGAGGCAGAAACCAATTCTGTCCAATGCCGCAGCTTGAACAAATATAGCCGGGCAGGGTGACTGGGGAGGAGGGCACCTTATCAATCCCAGTGGGGCAGGAGGGGACATGATTCCCACGGCCTTGATTCTTCCCCCCGTGGGCTGTCAGCAGCTGGCAGAGGAAGACACTTTGGCGAAGGCCATCCTCAAGATCACCTGTAGGTGAGTCAGGAGGGCCCGGCTGGGTGTGAACTGCCTCCCCAACTTTGCCTGTCCTGCCCACTCTCAAGTCCCCGGAAGCTTTCCGACTGGACAGGCTGCGCTGCTAGGCTGCCGCTTTATTTCCCGCTGCCACAGGAACCCCTCCTCTGCACCCCCCAATGCCCCGTGGGGAGCGGCTGTTGAAGAGGAATGGGTCTTGGGGGAGGGAGAACCCTGCTGTGGAGCTGGGAAGGCAAAGCGCCCTTCAGTGCAGCCTGGACACTGCCCCAGGGCGGGGGGAGGGAGGAGAGAGGGCTGGAAGGGGCGCGAGGAAAGGCTGGCAGAGCTGAGCTGGTGAGGGAGGGGCCACGCTCTGCTTCCTGGGCAGCCCGCCTCCCCCGACCCAGAAGACCAGGTACTGTGGTGCCAGGTTCACCCAAGAGTGGGGACTCCGGGTGGAGGAAACACTGTTCACTGAGCAGGCAGTGGAGGGACAGGGGCTGTAACTGGGCTGGAAGGACACATCGCAGGGCCCTGGGGCCCTGGAGGGAGGGGCAGTCCCGGGAGTGGGACCAAGACCAGCCCCAGAAACCTCAGCCTGAGAAGGGCATGCTGGCTTCCACTCCCAGCTCTGCAATCCAGGAGCTGTGTGACCTCAGACAAGTTACATGACCCCTCTGTGCCTGCATGTTCCCATATGTGAGGTGGGGACAGTTATAAGGTGTTCCTCAGAAAGCAGCTGAGTTAACGCATGGCTCACAGAGTTTTAGACAAATGGAATGAACAGACCACGGGGGCCGGGGGGGAGTGTGGAGAGAACCCCACTGGAGGAAAGGCTGAGCTCACCGGGGACCAGGGAGGAGCTGTATTTGTGCTGGGCCTTGAAGCTCTGGGTGCAGAGGTGAAGCAAGACACTGCCCCTTGGTGCTGGAGACCCAGGGGCCACTCAGCTGCCCCCAGCAGTTGCCTTGCGGTCCCCACAGCCAGGTGCCTGCGACATCGCAGGCCTCAGCCAATGCTGGAAGCTTGACTGCTCCCTGGTCCCGGGAAGCTCATCCCTTCTCTGAGGGTCCCCGAGACACCGTAAGTAATGACTCCGAACTTGCCGGCTCAAAGCCACAGAAAGTGGCTCAGAGTTCTGGAGGTTGGAGCGCTGGGGTCAGCGCCCCTCCGTCTCTGCCTCCACGTCCTGGCCGCCTCCTCTGCACGCATCATGTCCCTCTGCCCCACCAGGACCCCAGTGACCACGTCCAGGGCCCGTCTGCACAGTCCCGGACAATCTCCGCATCTCAATTCTATCACATCAGCCAAGTTCTTTTTTTGCCATGTAAAGTAACATTCACAGGTTTCAGGAATTAAGACAAGGACGTCTTTGAGGGGCGGGGGTTCATTATTCAGCCAAACACAGAGGGTCCCAGAAAGAGGCTCTGGGGATGGGATTTAAATACTTAGTGGGGGAACCTCCAGGTTTTGAGGAGAAAGCGGGAGCCATGGAGGGAGGGGTAAAGCTGTTCTGAGTGGCTCTGGGCCAGCTTGGGAGTAGTCTGATGGAAAGTGGGCACCAGTTACTTGGATGGAAGCAGCCTCGAGTCAGCCCTCCAGGGCACAGCTGTCACCACACCCTGTTCTGTCAGCGGCTGCCACAAGGACATGTCTTTGCAATCAGACTGGATCCAGAGCCTGACCCCCCAGGAAGGTCTTATCTGTGCCTGGATGCTCCTGTCTCCTCGTCCCCTCTGTTTCGGGGCTGTCATGACTTCAGTTTCGTCACGGTCTTGCTAAACCAGCCCCTGGCTGTAGCACTTGCCCGAGAGCCCAGGACAGTCCTGTCCACCAGCAGGAGAAAGTGCACACTGATTCACTGCTGACGTCTGTATCTGCCGGGCCCTCCAGAGAACAGAACCAACAGGATGTATGTATAGATACGCCGAGAGAGAGAGAGAGACAGAGAGCGTGCACTTCAAGGAAGTGGCCCCTGTGGTGATGGAAGCAAGAAAGATCCCAACTCTGCAGGGTGAGTCACTGGACCCCACAAGTGGTGTGCAGAGGTCAGCCTGTGCTGTCGTCGGGCCTTCTGTGGCTTGGGTGAGACCCAGAAGGGACTGTGTCGGTCCCATCTGGCCGTCTGACAGGATACCAAACACGGTGGCTTACAAACAGCAGAACTGTGTTTCTCATCGCTCCGGAGGCTGGGAGCGGGAGCTCGGGGAGCGCAGTCGGGGAGGAGTCCCCCCGGAACCATGCTTTCTGTGGGTCCTCACTTGGTGGAAGGGGCAGGAAGTCTGCTGGCACCTCTTTGATTCAGGTACTAATCTCCTTCCTGAGTCACCTTCCCAAGGGCCCACCTCCTAACACGGACCTTGGGGTTAGGATTTCAACATATGAATTTGGAGGGAGGAATACAGACATTCGGCTCGAACACCCGCCCGCATTACGAGGGCCGTCTACTTGACTCCAGATCCACCGATTTAAATGTTCATCTCATTCAAAAAACACCTTCACAGAAACATCCAGATTAATGTTTAAACAAATGTCTTGGCACCCTGGCTCAGCCAAGTTGTCACAGAAAATTAACCATTAACCGTCTAATCTACTTAAAGGTATATTTTTAGAAATTTTCGAAAGATCTCATTTTAACCCCACGTGTCTTCCTCAAAGCATCTGACACCCCACGAACAGCACCAGCCCTGGTCCTGAGGATCCCCAAGCCCCGGCCATCAGGCCCAGGACAAGCTGAGTGTTTAATGATCTCAGTCTGGGTCCCTTTGGAGGGCTGCTGGCAGGTCGGGAAAGATCCCTTTAGGATTTACTACGTGTGATTAATCCAGTGCTCTCCCAGGGTTCCCGGCGGTGGAGCCCACCGTGAACGGGAAGGCCGCACCCATCACAAGCGTATCCGGCCACACCTCTGTGCTGTCAGCTCGGTCCCTTCTCCCTTTGCTCACCGAGCTCGACATTCTACTCTAGGCCCGTGCGGGATGTTCTGTGCGGCGGTCACCAGGGTGACTGGTTTCCACTCTCAGAGCGAATGGCCATCGCATGCCAGCATCCCCGGGCATGAGGGGGACGCAGCAGCAGATGCTCATGGAATGTCCTGCTCGCCTTTCTCCCCAGCACCCCCGTGTCCCACAGAATAAAACACAGGCCGCGCTCACACATCAAAACACCCAAAATCACCAGCAACTGTATTTCTCACTTCTCAAATGGCACACAGACACGTTTCGGCGGCACACCACACGCTCGAACCCTGGCTGGATGCGGGGCACTCCCCCCCTCCGGAGGATGGGGTGGGGGGAAGGCGGCATCTCCAGACCCCAGGGACAGAGGAGTCTGCAGTAACCATGGGGAATCCAAAGTCAAGCAAATAAAATAACAATTTGAACAGGAAAACAGAGAAAACATCAGGAAAGTTATCTTTGTTCTAAGAAAAGTCTCTTTTTTTTTTCCATGGTATAATGACTCACTTATAAAGAGGAAGTGAGTTCTGTTGAAAATACTTGAAATATTCTCTCAGGGGGAGAAAACAGCTTTTCACCAGCGCGGCTGGCCGCAGGGCGGGGGCCGTCACTCTCTTCCTGTCTTCAGCCATCAGGGATGATTCCTCCCGGGAAACCAGGGCCGAATGCCTGCTGCAGAGGAGACGGGAGCTCATCACCAAGGGCACCACGCGCTCGCCAGGCCGGCTGCACCGTCACAGGGAGGATGGTGGGCAGTGGGGGTGAGGAAGGCTGGCTGGTCTCTCAGATCAACAGCCCACCCAGCATGCATGTCCTGGGCATCAGGGGACACGATGCCCCACACCTCCGTGCTCCCTCGGTTCTGTGAGAAGTAGGCAGGGTGGTAGAGGGTCCCCAAGAACAGATCCTGGCCCACCTTGGCAGGTCCCCCTTTCCGTGAGAAGAAGCCGTCCTGGAGAGACCCCACAGAGAGGAAGGGGCAGGACGTGGTGTCCAGGTTGGTCAAATAGAATTGAATGTCATTCCCAAGGAATTCTGATACCCAAGAAAGAGGGGTCTGAGCACACCCCGGGATCTGTTCTGCAGACCCTGCCTGTGGGGCAAGTGGGGGGAGGCCACGGATCCCAACTTGCAATCTGATGCAGCCCACGGGACCCGAGGCTGCGTGGACGTGGCGCCAGCATTCCCTTCTCGTGCCCCCAGGCGCCCGCAGTTAGGGACATTCTTTGGTTGGCTCTGGAAGGGCCAGAAATGAGCTCCAGAGACGTGCACGGCTCCTGCTGGCGCCCCCACAGGCCGCCACCCCAGCGGCGGGGCCAGCAGAGGGACCATGGCTGTCCAGAGCCGCTGCCCGTCCTCCCTCCCCTCACTGTGAAGCCAGCAGGAGCCTGGAGGGAAGCTGCCCTCGAAGAAGCTGCCTCCAGCTCGTTTCTGGGAACCCCAGGGAGGGAGCACGCCGTGGGGCAGGGCAAGGAGAAGGGCGCACGGAAGCAGCTGCCCACGGAATGACCAGCCCGGCTTCCGGGGAGAGAACATTCTGGAAAGCTGCCTCCCTGTAGCTGCACTTGAGACTAATCCAGGGTGCGGACCTGCTGGGGAGATGCTGGACTGGGCTGGGTGGGAAAGGCCCCAGAAGCCACTGTGGGGAGGAGACTGGACCCAACTGTCTCTGAAGATACGTCGCAGGGTCTGCACAGGGCTGCACGGGGCAGAGGTGCGGGCAGGGATGTGGGCAGGGATGCGGGCAGGGATGCGGTGAGGCAGGGTGGGCGATGAGTCAGCCAGGGCAGGTGTCCTGGGAGCAGGAAGGCTGCCTGAGGAGCAGGGCTGCCCGGACCCGGGGCTGGCTGTGTGTGGGTGTTGATCAGAGGGAATGTTCTCGAGCAGGGACAGTCAGGAAGGTGTCCAGTGGCCAAGGGGGGTGTGTGTGAAGGCCCAAGGCCTGGTGCTCCATACAGTCAGACTGCTTCGTGCGTGCGGGTGTGGGTGTGTGTGGGCCGTGGGTGTGACTGTCAGTGAGTGTGAGAGTGTGGGTGTGTGCGTGGGCTGAGTGTGTGACTGTGAGTGCGGGTGACTGAGCAGGGTGTGAGGGTGTGTGTGGGCTGTGGGCTGTGTGAGTGTGTCAGTGAGTGTGGCTGACTGAGCGGGGTGTAGGGTGTGTGTGGCTGTGAGTGTGAGTGTGTCAGTGAGTGTGGCTGAGCGGAGTGTAGGGTGTGCGTGGGCTGTGTGTGTCAGTGAGTGTGGCTGAGCGGGGTGTAGGGTGTGTGTAGCTGTGAGTGTGAGTGTGTCAGTGAGTGTGGCTGAGTGGGGTGTAGGGTGTGCGTGGGCTGTGTGAGTGTGTCAGTGAGTGTGGCTGAGCGGGGTGTAGGGTGTGCGTGGGCTGTGAGTGTGAGTGTGTCAGTGAGTGTGGCTGACTGAGCAGGGTGTAGGGTGTGTGTGGGCTGTGAGTGTGACTCAGTGAGTGTGAGTGTGGGTGTGTGTCTGAGTGTGGAGGGCAGGCTGCGCTCCAGAGGCTGGGGGTAGCAGGCTGGGCACCTGTGGCTGTGTGGCAGGTGGCCAGGGGTTTGGACTGACTTCTCTGGACACAGGAAAGCCCTTCAAAGTTCGGAGGTGAGAACCTCCCAAGCACTGGAGTAACCGCTGGGAGACAGTCCCCAAGGTGGAAGAGGCACCCCTGACCTTGAGCATGCTCAGAATTTCTGAGGTCATCTCGAAGGCCCACCTGACATAGCCCTGAGCCTGGGCGGAGAGGCTGCCGGGCATGGCTGGGCTCCGTGTCCCTCAGACCCGTGTTCTCCGTGGCCAGGGTCCCCCCTCGCCCCCCAGGGACGCGCGTGCACAGGAAGTACCTCCTCACAGCCGGGATGTTGCTCCACACGTGGACGGCGTTCCGGGCGGCTCGGCCGCAGGTGTCCTGGATGGTCACGGGGTCTGCCTGGGGGAACATCAGCCATGCACAGGGTGACCCGGACAGTGACTTCTGTCCCCTGCGTGCCCACAGAGCTCCGCCACTGTGGGAACCACGTGTGGCCCTGGAGTTCCATCGACAGCCGTCCCAGGCTGACTGTCCCCTAGTCCACACTGCTCCACAGCACATCTTTCCTTTTTTTGGTATAAATCCCTTATGAGGAAAAAAAAAAAAGCACCAAGACATGATTTTTAAACTTGTAACGTGTTGAGTTTTGTTCCCACGAGTCACGTAGCCCAGGGACTCCCTGTCCGCTGGGGCACCAGGGGACTGCCACTCAGATAAAGAAGCCTGTGCCCCCCAGAGGAGGGTCCACTGTAAAGTCCCTTTGCTTCACGGCGCTTGTCAGGAGCTTGGCGGCCGCCTGCTCCTGGGGTCACTGTCTCCCTAAAGGCACCAAAGCAAGAAGGGAGGAGAGAGCAGGAGGCGAGACAGACCTTCCACCACTGGGGGGAGGAGCCTCAGAAGGGAGAGGGGCGTGGAGGAGAAACTGAAGCAAGAGGTCACCCCGTCCCCCGACACACAACAAAAGGTGACCTTGACTCTACCTCCCCAGACTGGGGGGCTGCCAGAGAAGCCCCCCTGGACCACTCCCGAGCCCCACCGCCCTGGGACGCCCAGCCTCCTCCTGCACCAGGCACGCCCTGGAGGAGGGACAGCTGGCTGCAGCGTCAGTGGCCAGAGCCCACGGGGACAGCACCTGCACCCGGCGCAGTTAGCTGTCCCGGCCCTTGGCAGGAAGGAGGCTCCACAGCAGGGTGGAGCAGTCACGGAAAATGTGGGACGTTCCCATTTTTGCCTTCTTCTAATTGGGAACCAATTTGGATCGACCCAATGGGGGCCAAAACCCACTGAAAATCAGGACTTTGCTGTCCTGGCTGCTGTTACGTGGCAACGTGTCAGTGTCTTGAAAATACGAGACTTCCACCCTGGCCGGTTTGGCTCAGCGGTTAGAGCGTCGGCCTGCGGTCCGGAGAGACCCGGGTTCGGTTCCCGCTAAGGGCATGTACCTCGGTTGCAGTTTGTCCCCGGCCCTGGTTGGTCGTGCGGGTGGCAGCCACTCGATGTGTCCCTTTCACGTCGATGTTTCTCTCTCTCTCTGTTCCTCTCTCTCCCTCCCACTCTACCTGAACAAAAAATGGAAAAATGTCCTCGGGTGAGGATAATTAAAAAAAAAAAATTTACTCAAAAAACAGAAATCAGTCCGGCCGGTGTGGTTCAGTGGTTGAGCGTCGACCCATGCACCAAGAGGTCACTGGTTCAATTCCCAGTTAGGACACATGCCCAGGTTGTGGGCCTGATCCCCAGTGAGAGGCATGCAGAAGGTGGCCAATCGATGTTCTCTCTCATTGATGTTTCTATCTCTCTCTCCCTCTCCCCTCTTCTCTCTCTAAAATCAATAAAGGATCACAGTGGTCCCACTTCTAGGAATATACCCTAAGAAGCCTGAAACACCAATCAGGAAGAATATATGTACCCCCATGTTTGTAGCAGCACTATTTACAATAGCTAAGATCTGGAAACAGCCCAAATGTCCATCAGTAGACGAATGGATAAAAAAGCTGTGGTACATATACATAATGGAGTACTACACAGCTGTAAGAAAGAGAGATCTCTTATCCTTTGAGACGACATGGAGGGACCTGGAAAGTATTATCCTAAGCGAAACAAGCCAAACAGAGAAAGACAAGTATCATATGATCTCACTTATTTGTGGAATATAATGAACCTAACAGTCTGAGGAATGGGGTAGTCCCAGAGACGTGGAAGTGGGGTACAGACTGACAATCCCCAGAAGAGGGGGTGGTGGGGGAGAGATAAACCACAGAACTTATATGCATATGCATGAACAATGGACATGGACAACAAAGCTGGGGACAGGGCAGGAAGGGAGAGGGAGGGGTGAATCAGCGGGGGGAAAAGGAGAAACATCTGCAACAAAAATAATTATTTTTAAAAAACCAATAAAGGAAAAACAAACAGAAATCAATGGAAACTCCCTTAACATAGTGAAACCCATCAACCTCAACCTCAGAGCCAGCGTCAGCGTAGTCGGGAAACACCGGACAGGTGTCCTTGAAAGTCAGGGACAAGGCAGCAACGGCTCGTCACTGCTGTGATTCAGCGTGTCCCGGAGACACCAGGAGGAGACAAGAGAAAGGTACCCGAGGTGTACCACTGGAAGGAAAAAACCGTCTCGAGTCGCAGACGACGTGCTCAGACACCTGGGAAGTCTAACAGAATCTCCTGGGAGCTACTGTAAATCAGTAGGTCATTCGATGAGGCAGCAGGAGCAAAACTAGCACAGAAATCAGATGATTAGACGGAAGAGTCAAACCAGTTCGGTGATTAGCCGGAGGAGCACCCTTGCCGGAGGGCACTTGCGAACGGACGGAACAGAGGGCTGGTGACCCTCGGAGAGGCCCAGGCAAGCGGGCCTGGTGGGAGTGGGAGCCAGGACCATCCCTGCCCCCGAGCGCCGCTGGGCACCCGCGGACATGACAAGCGTCCACACGCACGCTCCCCCGAGGCAGCAGTGTCTGCGCGAGCGAAGGGTTAGAAACCACCCAGAGTCCCACCGCTGCGGAGCAGGTTCGTTCATTCTTACGTCCACACAGAGTCAAACGGAAGAAAACAGAACGGAACACACAAGCTAAAACAAGGCGTGAGAAGGTCCTGTCGTGGGAGGTCTGTCACGCGTGAACCAGTCAGAGGCAGAGCAGCAACTTGGGCAGATTTGCCACATTTGGGTGAAGAACCCTGGAGGTGACCAGGAGACTGAACGCAGGGTGACAGAGACAGATGGGGTCAGGACGGCAAGGAAGCTGCTTGCCTTATGTTTGGATGTGGGGGAGCATCCTGTGAGGAGCGGACACCAGGCTCGACCAGGGGCTGTCCTGTGGGGGGGGAGGCGGGTTGGAAGGGACTCCGGTCAGCCCTGGGCAGAGCTGTCATTGAGTCCTGGCTGCTCCAAGGGTCGGGATCCAGATACACGGAGAGAGAAAACGGTCGTGTCCCCGAGGGTGTGGGTGTGAGTGTGTGAGACTCCAGGTGTGGTGTGTGTCAGTCACTGGTGCATGTATATGTTGTGTGCACATGTGTGCGTCCTGTGTGTGCTGGAGAGCCCGGTGGTGGTTATCCTGAGCGCAGTGTGAAGGGGACCCCCTCCGAGGGCACCACGAAGGGTCCATGGCCGAGTGACACCAGGCGACCCTCACGGTCCCTGCAAACTGAAAACCCAGGCTTCGGGCCCTAAACTGCCACCCTCTGGTGGAAGCGCCGCTCCCTGGGAGGCCCAGCCCGGCGGGACAGCACCCGGCACGCACCTCCAGGAAGCGTGTGGCCACGGCGCGGTCGTCCTCGGTCAGCAGCAGGCTGTCCACAAACATCCAGAAGAAGGGCTGTGCGCTGCGGGGCCGGGGCCTCGAGTACTGCAGGACGCGGTGGAACTGGAACACGAACCACCCTGCGGGGACCAGCGCGCTCTGGCCTGCCCGCTGCAGGGCTCTCGGGGGCACTGCCGAAGGACCGGGCTCCGGTGCCGGCCTGGGCTGCCAGTGCCACTGCCCCCCCGCCCCACCCAGGGTAGTTCTGTCCCCACGGCAGCGGCTGAGCCTCGGCCGGGCTGGCTGTCGCCCGGCGTGCAGACCCAGTGCCCCGCCGTGAAGGGGCAGGAGCAGTGAAAAGGAGTCAGGCTGGCGGGTGGAAGGGGGCAGGACAGGGTCAGCAGGCACTGGGGCCTTGGGGGATGGGTGAGTTCACTGTCGGGGACATGGCGATGGCTTCACGTATGTCAGAACACACCACATTGTACTCGCCGATCACGGACACTCTATGGATGTCTGACCCCTCAATAAAGCCTTTCTTCCGAAATGCAGACCATCTGCAAGTTCCACTCCCCCTGAGGAGGGTTGGTGGGCGGGAGGAGGGGACGAGACGGCCCAGGTATCGGGGCAGAGGGGCTCCCTTACCAGGGGGATGGTCACAGGTCTGGCCCAGGGGAGGCGTGCAGCCATACACGAGGTCGAACGGGCCCCACTCTTCCACCTGCAGGACACGGACACTGGAGGACACGTGTGTCGTGGGCGGGCCTGTCCCAGCAGCAGGCTTGTGTGCCCGGTGGTGACACCTCTTAGGCGGGCAGCGAAGCCACTGCCTCAGACCCACCAGTGTCTTTCTGGGTCACCACCGGCCTCGGACCATGCAGGGCTAGCTGTCATTGAGGCGAGGCTGGCCCTCCGCGATCACTGGGGACCCACAGATCCGGTCCTGGTCAGTGGGCGCACTGACCCCCAGGGTTCACATGGGTTTTGTCAGCGGCAGGAACATACGAGGCGGTCCCCTGAGAGGACAGTTGGCAGCTCCAGGCTGGACGGACGCTCACAGTGAGGCTGCACCTGTCCCTGCAGGGCCCGCACGGCGGGGTCGAGTTGAAAGACAAGACACCACCACTCCACGGTCATGCCTGGGCCGAGGAAGGATGTTCCCCAACCTCAGAAGGGACGGCGCCCTCTCCTGGGCCGTGGACGTGAGGACTCCAGTTCATAACAGTCCTAGCCCCTGCCATTCTTAAAAAGAAATTGATGAGCCATCCAAATACAATCCTGGCGCCCGGCCGGTGGGGCTCAGTGGTTGAGTGTCAAACCACGCACCAAGAGGTCGCCGGTTCTATTCCCGGTCAGGCACATGCCCAGGCTGTGGGCCCGATCCCCAGTGGGGGGCATGCAGGAGGCAGCCAATCGATGTTCTCTCTCATCGATGTTTCTCTCTCTCTCTCTCCCTCTCTCTCCCTTTCTCTCTAAAAATCAATAAAGAAAAAAAAATTAAAAACAACAACAAATACAACACTGGCTCCCACTGTTCTGACAGCACCCCTCCAGAACAGACCCCTGCTACCCCAGCCCCCCCAAAGCACTGCGAAGGCCTGCACCCCGGGCTCAGCCGCCCAGCCTCGCACACCCCTCCAGCAGGTTCTGTGTCACGGCAGCTCACTGGGCGGCTGGCACCTGCCCTGTCTCAGCCTCCAGACTGGAGCAAGGGATGGAGGTGTCCGGACGGGGGAGCGGGGGAAGGGAGCTTGATGAGGTGCACATGGGCTGGTGGTCCAGGACCAGCTCCCCTGCCGGTCTAAGGCAGGGGCGGCTGTAGTCACCTCATGCCCCCCGCCCCCTGCCGTGTACCTGTGCATGACGCCGCGGACTGAGAGGGAACCAGGGTCTTAGGGCACCCGGTTCTCCCTGAGCCGCCTGCGCACCAGGCTGCACCGCCACCGCCACAGCCCACTTCAATCCCCTGCACAGCCAGGCTGGGCCCACAGACAGGGGAGCGGGGCAGGAGCCGCACGCCTCGTCTCTGAGTGGGGTTTCGGAACAGTGAAGCCCACGTCATGGGCCCCGTGGGAAGCAGTAAGGCCGGGGTGCTGGGGAACTGAGTGTCGACTCCCCACACCTGACTGTGGTCACTAGTCCTAACAGAAGGCTCATCCGGGGAGGGGGCCCTGAGCTGATGCACCCTGGAAAGTCCCTCTATGTCCGGCCGGTTCTGTGGCAGGTGGAGACTTTTACGCCACCACTGTGGCCCGTCCCGAGCACCCTACCCTGTGAGAGAGGACTCGACCCTGGAGGGGCCTGGCTGGAGTGCAGACAGGGCAGCCTCCAGAAACGCTCCTGGGGGCATCTAAATGGGACAGGGTCTTGGGCGAGGCCCACAGTAATGAAGTTCAGGGTGTGGGGTTCAGGACAGGGCTCAGGGCAAGAGAGGCCATGGTGGGATGATGGACCAGGCTTCTCCAGTGTAGCCAGAGAGGACGCTGGCCCCTGGGCCGTGGGCCCCCAGCCAGAAGGGGGCCAGAGATGTGAGGCCCTGCTGGCACCAGGGTGGGCACCCTCCACGCCAGCCCTTTCCTTGTTGCCCACCCCACCCTCTGCCTGACGGTGTGAAAGTGCAAAGTGCTTAAGACCCGGGGCTTTACCCCCCTCTCCTCGTGGGAGAGACTGTGTCCCAGCATCGGGGCAAGAGAGACCAGGCTCCTCCCTCCCGAGCCCACAGGAGGACACCCCACCCTTCCTCCTCGGCTGTGACGAGCTGGAGGCAAGCTGGGAGCTGCAGAGCCATTTCCAGGCACGTCCCCCAGGCCACGGAGCGGACGCCGGAAACAGCCTTTCAGGGTGCCGGGGGTTTCGTGGTTGGAAGGGTTGGAAGCAGCCACTGTTTGTTTCAGAGGGAGGGTGGGGTTAACTCTGTCTGGGCAGCACCGCGGGCTGGCAGGCAGTGGGACTGGCCCCTTGGATCTCAACAAGTTGAACAGGTTTGGCCGATCGCTTTGCTCTGGGCTGTGGCCGGTGTGGGGGCCACGAACATGCCCCCTCATCTCTCCCACGGCAGGGCGAACCACCCGCACTGTGAGGGGAGTGCCCATTCCCGTGAGACCCTCACATCGGGCTGGCTGGGGCCCCCGCTGCCACCGCACCCCCGCAGGGACCTCCCGCACACCGGCTTCCATCTCGGCGCCTGACGCCCACGCTGCACTTACGTCCCTCCTCACCACGTCGGTAACATCATCCAGGTGTCTCAGCCTTCCTGAGCCAGAGACGTTCTCCAAAAATCCCAGACTCGTCAGCTCTGCATGGGAAAAGTGAGGACACAGAGGACACGCTGACTGAGTCCAACTGGAACCAAAAGGCCCGCGACAGAGCAGAAAACGCGTGTCACTGAGAAGCGAGTTTTATCTTTTCAGCGATGGACGAGGGACTAAGGGTGAAGGTCTGTGCTGTGTTGTAAGCGAAGCAAGCAAACTCCTCTGAGTATTGATTTGAGCAAGTCAAGCTGCTGCTGGGAAGCCGGCCTTCCTGGGCTGTGATGTCACTCTCGTCAGGGAAGGCACCGGGTGGTGTGACCCACACTGATGATGTCACTCTCGTCAGGGAACGCATGGGGTGGTGTGACCCACACTGATGATGTCACTCTCGTCAGGGAACGCATGGGGTGGTGTGACCCACACTGATGATGTCGCTCTGGTCAGGAAACGCACCAGGTGGTGTGACCCACACTGATGATGTCACTCTCATTAGGGAACGCACCGGGTGGTGTGACCCACACTGATGATGTCACTCTCGTCAGGGAACGCACCGGGTGGTGTGACCCACACTGATGATGTCACTCTCGTCAGGGAACGCACGGGGTGGTGTGACCCACACTGATGATGTCACTCTCGTCAGGAATGCACGGGGTGGTGTGACCCACACTGATGATGTCACTCTCATTAGGGAACGCACCGGGTGGTGTGACCCACACTGATGATGTCACTCTCGTCAGGGAACGCACCGGGTGGTGTGACCCACACTGATGATGTCACTCTCATTAGGGAACGCACCGGGTGGTGTGACCCACACTGATGATGTCACTCTCGTCAGGGAACGCACCGGGTGGTGTGACCCACACTGATGATGTCACTCTCGTCAGGGAACGCACCGGGTGGTGTGACCCACACTGATGATGTCACTCTCGTTAGGGAACGCACAGGGTGGTGTGACCCACACTGATGATGTCACTCTCGTCAGGGAACGCACGGGGTGGTGTGACCCACACTGATGATGTCACTCTCGTCAGGGAACGCACCGGGTGGTGCGACCCACACTGATGATGTCACTCTGGTCAGGAAACGCACCGGGTGGTGTGACCCACACTGATGTCACTCTGGTCAGGAAACGCACCAGGTGGTGTGACCCACACTGATGATGTCACTCTGGCCAGGAAACGCACCAGGTGGTGCGACCCACACTGGTGTCCCCGGCCAGCCTGTGCGACACGGTGTGTAGGCTTCAGAAGCCCCATTACGGCCTCGGAGAGTCTGCGGCCTGGGGACAGGAGATGAGCCCAGAAAGGACCTTACGAGTGGGACCCAGGGAGACACCCTCGATGGGAGATGGAGGACCCAGGGAGACACCCTCGATGGGAGATGGAGGCAGGGCGGCCGGGACCGCAGCCCCGGGTCCCTTCACTGTGGGCAAGTCCCAGGCTCTCTGTCTGTGACATGCTCGGCCTGCTGCGACCACTGCACAGGGCAGGAGACACCTGCCCAAAGTGGGGCGGGTGCCTGATTCGTTCTGTCGGAGACTAAGGGGTGGTGTCAAGGGTTCTCGCCGTGTCTGCAGGGCCCAGAAGAATCCATGATTTCCAAAGGCACCCGCAGGCGGGGGTCAGCTTGGGGTCCAGAGAGGGAGGACGCTGGGGCAAGGCTGGAGCACAGCACGTGGTGGCCGGGGCTCCCAGGAGCGAGGGTGCCGGGAGCCCTGGGAGGGGCGGGGGCCCTGCAAGGTGGCCAGGTGTGGTGGTATCTGGGTGGACTCTGGTGCCGAGTGGTCATGGGCAGAGCACTGCCCTCAGGGACAGCACCTAATCCGCCGTCCTGCTCTTTCCAAGGCGTGTCTTCTGAAGGAGTGAGCTCCAGGGCACGCGGACCCTCTCCCCCGCCCCCCAAAATGACCTTTGGCCCCAGATGCCTGGAGGTGTCCCAGATGCTCAGCAAGTTTGATGCTGGGAACATTCTAACCCCCGCCCCCCACTCACCCAGGTTTAGGCAGGTGCGTCTCCCAGTGAGTCCTCGGGCCTCCATCACACTCACCTTTCCCGATGTCCCCAAAAAGGGACAGCACCCGGACTGGCTCTCTCTTCCACACAGGCACGGTTTTATACATTTCGAGGGGACTCTCCTATTTATTAAAAAAACAAAGGCGACAGTGTGGATCCAGAGCCGGGAGCCACGCGGAGGCCCCTTCTGGCCAGCAGACCAGCAGCGGCTCCCCTGACGAGCAGGGGCACACGGGACAGCCCTGACCACGTGCCCCAGACCCCAGGCCTCCCGCCCTGACCTGCCCCAGGCCGTCTCTAGCAGAGGAAAGGCAGGGATGGGGCTCTTCCTGAGGGGGAAGGGAGACCCCTCCGTGCGGACACTCCCCTTGTGCTCCTTGGGGAGACTCTCACGTCTGGGCCATGCTGAATACAGGCAGCAGTGGGACTCACCCCGTGCCTCTCCTTCCTGTGGCCCCAAGCCACCTAGCGCCCCTGAAAGTTACCAATGGAAGGCGCTTCCGAGGCTGAGGACCAAGACCTACTGTGCCAAGAGCCAGAGCCTGTGCTCAGCCACGAAGAGGCCACGCTGGACACGAGGAAGGAAAGCCTCGTGGGCCAGGCCTGTCCTGTCCTTCGGAAACAAACCCTCGCAGAGCCCCTGCTCCCCGGACGTGGCACCTGGGGACGCCTGGCCTGCAGGTCAGGAGTCCAGCTGCCCACTGCCGGAGACCAGGCCTGAGCGGGGCTGCTTCCCTCTGCGCCCGGCACGGGGCCAGCGTCAGCCACATTTCTGAACATCAACTCCACTCTCCTTCCAAGCGAAACTCCTCCCGCGGCTCGCGAGTCCTTCCGCACCGAGATGGACGGGCTCTGCCCTCGCTGGCCCCGGGAGAAGGTTCCAGCAGGCGTGCACAGGCCTGTTCTCCAAAAGGCGCCAGAAAGACACCAGCAAAGGTTGTCGCAAACATGTCCACGGTCCCAGCCTGTGTCAGCGAGACTGTGGGACGGCTCACCCGCCTGTGTGCCCCGTGTGCCCGTCGCCAGACCAGTGCTGGCTGAGGGCCCTTGCCGGCCCCTGCTTCCCCGCCAAGCACGTTCAGCCTCTGCCTTAGTCTCCCAGGGCAACCCCAACAAATGGAAATGAACTGTGCGGCCATGGATTTGCCCGGGAGGCTGGAGGTCCCTAGTCAACGTGTCAGCAGCACGGGCTCCCTCAGGAGGGTCCGAGGGAGGCTGTGTCCCAGGCCAGCTTCTTGAGGTGGCCTCGGGTCCTGGGCTTTTAGACCATTGCTCCAACCTCTGACCCCATTGTCACATGGCCGTCTCCCCCGTGTGTCTGTCTCCCAGTCTCCTCTCCTTTCTCTTACATGTCACCAGTCACTGCGTTTCAGGCCCACCCTCCTCCGGCAGACCACACCTCCAGATCCCCTACTCAACTGCATCTACAAAGACCCTGTTTCTAAAGCAAGTCACGTTCACAGGTACCAGGGATCAGCACTTGGACGTATCTTTTTGGGGGACACAGCTCCTCCCACCGTGATGAGCCCACGGCCCAGGCGTTTGCTCCCGCCTGCTGGGCCGGGAGGCACCCCCGCGGAGCCCTCTCCTGCCTGCTGCGAACAGCTCATTCCCAGGCTCGAAACAAGCAAAATCACCTGCCAAAGTAATTAAAAAACACACCACCGCGTGGCACCTGCTGTCAAAGAGAAAACGCATTTTCTTAAAAGCCTTTAACCTCACCGTGTACCAGAGCAGGTGACCATTCTGCAACTAATGACCAGAGAAATCCAGCCACGTGGGAGCCCCCGGGCATGGCCCGTCCTCGGAGCGGCTCCTTACCGACTCCCGGTCGTAGAAGGCCTTGAGCCGCTCCCGCCACTTTCTCCGCCGCTGCAGGAGCCCGCTGCCGGGGAAGGGCAGGCACAGGACGCACACCCAGTAACTCATGGCCTGAACTTTCCCCGAGGTGCCGGGGCCCACCAGGGTGTCCACGCACTCGAAACAGTAGCACCTACAGTCAAACAGAAACCCACAGTGACGGAGATGACATCGCTTCGGCCACCACGAGAAACCACGGGCCCATCTGCAGGCAGCCTGCCTGCCCGTGGCTTTGGAGAGACAGTGGTAGCCATACTCAGACTCCGGGGCAAAGACAAAGTGGACCCCACGTGGTAGGGAGGCCAGACTGCGGACCAGGGAGGGGACCAGTCCCTCTTAGGGACCCTGAGGGGCAGGAACCAAGCCATCTGCAGAAGACATCTGTTTATGGGCAATGAAAGATTTCAAAGAACTCCTGTCCACCTGTCTTCTCCCAACCCTGGAGTCTGGAAACAGTTAGGGTCTCCCAGGGTGGGGGCAGATTGAGGAGGGGGAGCTGTAAATGCAAGGATGGCCCAGGAGGACTGAAGGGGACATGCCGCTGCCTCCCTAGCCCCTTCCCCCTCCCACCCCCCCTTGACCAGCAGCCCCAGGGGTGCGGGGTTCCCACACTGCCCTCCATGATGATTGGGGGAGCAGCTACATCCTGACGAGAACAATAAAAAGGAAAACTGGAAACACCAATCTTTTGACACCCCACCTCCCATACGTCAGGGCTCTACACAGAATGAAATATTCGAGATGCAAATGAAAAGCTTTGGAGAAAGTCATCATTTTTGGAGGGAAAATCCCCCCACACTCTGGGATGTGTGGCTGAGAAGGATGGACGTCTCCTAGGCTCCTTGGCCCTCACCAGCACCCCTCGCCTTACCGGGTACAGTCAGGGTTCTCACAGATGAGCAGCGTCTCCCCCGAAGAGCACACCGAGCAGTAGGACTGGTACCCATCATCATCATACAGGAAGAGGCAGTCCAGGAACTTGTCCTTGGAGAGGGGCCAACCAGGCCAGTGCCTCCTCTGTTCCGACGGAGGTCTCACCACGCCACCCCTCGGCTCCCGGCTTACCTTGCATGGGGCGCACATCCCTCCCTCAAACAGAGGGTGCTGCGTATGCACCTGGAAACTTCCACAGCAGATGCACACGTCTGAGGGGACAGCAAAGCGCGACACGTGTCACGACCCCATCAAACGCAGCGACAGCCTCGGGAACACATTTAACAAAAGAGGTACGCAACCCGTGCACTGAAAACCACACCACCTCGTTGAAAGAAAGATCTCCATGAAGCGGGAAGCATCCCATGTTCATGGACTGGAGACCGAACACTGTCAGAATGACGTGCCTCCCCAAAGTGGCCGAACTCTGGGAACGTCCTGATGCTGAACTGCACACCCTGCATGGAGCCACGGGGGCCTGGGCTGCTGCCTCCGTCCTGGCTGGACGGACGCCTGTGTGAGGCGGCAGCCGGCAGAACTGGCTGACATTCCCCTTACCTGGGTGTGGGCACGGGTCGGACCGCTCACCTTCTATGGCTCGCTGGTTAACTTTGACCTCATATGCGATCAGATCTGGAAAAGAAAGGTAAGAAACGGACCCTTCCTTCTTCTACCCACCTGTCACTGAAACACAAGCCCGCGGTGAGGGTCCCAAGTTGATCTTATGAAGTCCCGGGAGCCAGAGGACACTGCCCCTGCCCTCCACCTTTCCTGGGATGTTAAACTTCTCAGCTTGGGGGCGGGGGAGCCCACACATCTGAATTACGTGTGACGAGTCCGGAAGCCTGGAGCCCTAAGTCTGGGGTTGGCATCCTAAGGGAAGGGGCCGGTCCCCACATGAGCCCTCACCTCTGTGGGGCTCAGGCGAAGGAGGTGATGACAGCTCGCTGGAGCCCACCAGGATGATGTCCACGCTGCACTCTGTCTCTGGGTCCAGGACTGGGGCAGCTGCCGGGCGGACACCGCCCAGGAGACAGGACACGCACAAGCAGAGGGAGACAACGGCCCCTCAGACTCTGCCTTTGAGCCCCTGAGCCCCAGCAAGGGGGACAGAGCCAATCATCCAGCTCAGCCCCCACCCACTTTCCACAGGGACACCCACCCTTTCCAACCCGGAAGGAAGGTCCTCCTGGCAGGAAGACCTGTGGTGAGTGCCAACCTTGCGAGGAAGCCTGATGTGGCCCCTGTGTGTCCCCCGCCAGGGGGCCCCAGCCACGGTGTAGGGTCAGGAGGTCTTCTTCCCACATAGGGGAGGGCAGGGCCCCCGAGGGGTGGAGGAGCTGAGGTCTGTTGCAGCCTGCCTCCATCTGCACCCCGGCAGGGCAGCGGTAGGTGGGCCCTCAGCCACCCCTCCCCTCTGGCCCAGCCCTGGCCCCCCAGCCCTGCTGGACCCTCGGGGCAGGAGGCGGGAGGAGAAAGGGCCTCACCGATTCCACAGGGCAGCTGCTCGAAGGGCGGCCGCCACAGCTCCTCTTCCAGCTGCCCGGCTGGATCCGGGTCCGAGCTGTCCAGGGGCTCCGGGCTCAGGGTCCGGGGGGAGGAGAGGGCCATGGAACCAGGGGAAGGGTCCTCCCAGAAACCAGCAAGAAACAAGTCAGGTGAGAGGGCTGGGGGCCACTGGGTGTGGGCGGCTGAGGAGCACTGGGGGAGGGGACGCAGGGCCCCCCACGTGCGGGGGCGGGGCAGCCAGCCTGCTGTGTGAAGGGGTGTTGGGTGGAAGGGTGAGGAGCTCATGCAGGCGGCTCATGCCGGTGGGGGATAGAAAGTTCAGGAAGGGGGGAGGGGGAGGGAAGGGGTGGGGCTAAGAGCTCAGTGGGAGGGAGGGGGCGTGGTGGGCAAGCTGAGGAGTAAAAGGGCCCTGAGGGGAGGATAGAGTTGGGGGGGCTCAGTGGGGGAAGGGAGGGGCACTCAGGGGCGGAGCTTGGGGGCTCAGTGCTCTGGGCAGGTGGGGGCAGGGGCCGGCTGCAGGAGGAGGAGGGGCGGGGCAGAGAGCTCCATGGTGACTTAGGGAGCTGGGTGGCCCCTCTTCCAGCGGGAGAAAGGAGCACGGAGGCTCTGGCTGCGATGAGAGGGACTAACGGCGCTCAGTGGGGAGACTCTGGGAGGAGCTGGGAGCAGGAAGCAGAGGACCCCTTGGCAGGGACTGTACCCCTGGGACAGGTACAGTGCTGGGCAAAGTCGGGGGAGACCCCGGGGCACAATTCCCTCTGTCCCCGTTTGGATGCGGGCTGGGACTGGTGACTTCCTGATGACAAGGGCAGTGTGGGGCGGGGGAGGAACTCCGCAGAGACACCTGGCAGACACCTCCTCCAGCTGATCAAGGTCAGCGTCAACAGTGACAGGTGGGATGGACAGTATGCACCCCGGGTAGGTCTGTGAGAGAAGGGCACGTCCCCTCTGGTTTTCCTACCTCTGCCCACGAGAAAAGCACCAGAAAATTCCCTTCGAGGGACATGGGCAAAGCACCTGCTCGTATTCAAGACTGCAAGATGATCGAAAGCAAAGGCAGTCCGACAAGCCCTCACAGCCTGGAGACCTGACAACTGGTTGTCCAGTGGGATCCTGGGGCAGAAAGGGGACATTGGGGGAAATTTTAGTCCATTGTGGCTTATTCATTTAGTTAATAATGTATCAGTATTGGTTCATTAATCGGAACAAATGTATCATGATAATGCAAGAAGTTAATAGGGGAAACTGAGGTTCATGGTAACTGTATAGCTTTGCAAATGTTCTGTAAATATAAAACTATTCTGAAATTTGTTTACAGTATACAGTATTATTAACTATAGTCACCACACTGTACATCCCCATGGCCTTATTTATCACTGGAAGTTTGTACCCGCTGACCTCCTTTACCCATTTTACCTACTCCGCCCACCCCCCTACCCTTTTGGCAACCACCTATCTGTTCTCTGTATCCAATGAGGTTAGCAGTTTTTTGTTTTGTTTTTTAAGATTCCACATATAAGTGAGATTATATGGTATTTGCCTTTCTCTGTCTGACTAGTTTCACTTAGCATAGTGCCCTCAAGGTACATCCATGTAAATGGTAAGATTTCCTTCTTTATGGCTGCATAATGTTCCATTGTATATATATATATATATATATATATATATATATATATATACCATAATTCCTTTATCCATTCATCCATCTGTGGTTGCTTCCATCTCTTGGCTACTGTAAATAATGCTGCAATGAATATGGGGGTACAGATACATTTTTGTTTCTTTGGATGATTATCCGGTGGTGGAATTGCTGGACCATATGGTACTTCTATTTTTATGTTTTTGAGGAGCTTCTATGCCATTTTCCATAGTGGCTGCACCAATTTACATTCTCAACATCAGGGCGGCAGGGTTCCCTTTTCTCCAGATCCAACACTTATTTCTTGACCTTTTTTGGTAATACCCATTCTGACAGATGTGAGATGGTATCTCATTGTGGTTTTGATTTGACTTTCCCTGGTGATGAGTGATGTTGAGCATCTTTTCATGTGCCTGTTCGGAAAAATGGCTTTCTACGTTCTCTGCCTACTTTAATCAGATTATTTTTGTTTGGTTGGTTTTGCCATGAATTCTTTATATATTTTGGATATTAGCCTCTTATCAGATATATTATTAGTAAATATCTTCTCTCACTCAGTAGGTTATCTTTTCATTTTGTTGATGGTTTCCTTTGCTGTGCAGAAGCATTTTAGTTTGATGTAGTCCCGCTTGTTTATTTTTGCTTTTGTTTTTAGTGTCAAAACCAACAATATCATTGCTAAGATCAATGTCTATGTTCAAATGTTTGATCCATTTTGAGTTCATTTTTGTGTATGGTGTGAGACAGGGGTCTGGTTTCATTCTTTGGCATGTGGCTGTCTAATTTCCCCACCACCATTTATTGGAGAAATTTCCTTCCCCTTTATATTTCTTGGCTCCTTCGTCATAAATTGACCATATGTATGTTCATTCATTTCTGGGCTCTCTGCTCTGTTCCACTGACCTGTGTCTGTTTTTATGCCCATATCACATGTTTTAACTATTACAGTTTTGCAATGTAGTTTGGAACGAGCGAGTGTGGTGCCTCCAGCTTTGTTCTTCATTCTCGAGGTTGCTGTGGCTAGTTGGGGTCTTTTGTGATTCCATACAAATTTCAGGATTGTTTTTTCTATTTCTGTGAAAAATGTCATTGAAATTTTGATAGGGATTGCATTGAACCTGTAGATTGTTTTTGGATAGTATGGACAGTTATAACAATATTAATTCTTTCAATCCATGAACACAGATTATGTATTTTATATATAGTTATTTAATATATTATATATACATAAATTATTTAGAATATATACTCCAAATAGTTAACTTTATTTTTAAGTGAAGGGAAGATAACTTTTTTTGGAGTAAGAGTTTATTCAAGCTGAACTAAGGCATATGCCAGGGAGCAATACGTCAAATGTCCCAGAGAATAAGTTTTGCAGTTTTCTTTTTTTCTCGATCAACACTTTTTATTATTTATTTATTTAAAAATCATTTTTAAATTTTTCATTTACAGTTAACGTATATTATTATATTAGTTTCAGGTGTACACACCAATGATTATACATTACGTAACTTAGTAAGTGATCGTCCCCATAAAGCTCACACCCATCTGACACCATGCATAGTTATTTGAATATTATTGACTATATTCCCTATTCTGTACTTTACATCCCCATGACTATTCTGTAACTGCCAATTTGTATTTCTCAATCCCTTCACCTTTTTACCCATCCCCCCTAATGCTATTCCCATCTAGTAACTGTCAAAATGTTCTCTATTAGTTTGTTTCTGTTCTGCTTGTTTATTTTTTTTCTTTAGATTCAATTGTTGATAGATATGTATGCATTACTATTTTCTTGTTCTTGTTATTTCCTCTTTCTCTTCTCCTCCTCCTCCTCCTTCTCCTTTTCCTTCTTATTCTTCTGAAAACCGTTTAACATTTCTTTTTTTTTTTTTATCCTCACCTGAGGACATTTTTCCATTTTTTGTTCAGATAGAGTGGGAGGGAGAGAGAGAAAGAGAAAGAGAGAGAGAAACATTGACGTGAAAGGGACACATCAAGTGGCTGCCACCCACACAACCCAACCAGGGCTGGGGACAAACTGCAACCGAGGTACATGCCCTTAGCGGGAACCGAACCCAGGTCTCTCTGGACCGCAGGCTGACACTCTAACCGCTGAGCCAAACTGGCCAGGGCGAGCTTTTTCTTGTTTGCGAACCTCTTTATCTGACCTTCAAGTCTAAATGATAGCTCTGCTGAGTAGAGTAATCTTGTTTGTAGGTCCTCTCTTTTCATCACTTTGAATATTTCATGCCAGTCTCTCTGGCCTGCAAAGTTTCTGTTGAGAAATCGGCGGACAGTCTTATGGGAGCTCCCTTGTAGGTAACTAACTGCTTTTCTGTTGTTGCTTTTAAGATTCTCTCTTTGTCTTCAAACTTTGCATTTTAATTATGATGTGTCTTGGTGTCGGCTTCTCTGGGTTCATCTTGTTTGAGACTCTCTGTGCTTCCTGGACTGGTATGTCTGTCTCCTTCACCAAGTTAGGGAAGTTTTGTGGCATTTTTTTTCAAATCGATTTTCAATTTCTTGCTTGCTCTCTTCTATTTCTGGCATCCCTATGATACAAATGTGGGTATACTTGAAGTTGTCCCAGAGGCTCCTCGCCTTTTTGGATTCTTTTTTCTTTTTGCTGTTCTGATTGGGTGTTTTTTGCTTCCTTATAGTCCAAATTGCTTATTTGAATCTTGGCTTCTTCTACTCTACTATTGCTTCCCTGTAAATTATTCTTTTTTTTATTTTTTTATCCTCACCTGAGGACATTTTTCCATTTTTTGTTCAGGTAGAGTGGGAGGGAGAGAGAGGAACAGAGAGAGAGAGAGAGAAACATCGATGTGAAAGGAACACATCGAGTGGCTGCCACCCGCACGACTGACCAGAGCCGGGGATAAACTGCAACCGAGGTACATGCCCTTAGCAGGAACCGAACCTGGCCGGCACTCTAACCGTTGAGCCAAACCAGCCAGGGCCCCTGTAAATTATTCTTTATTTCAGTTAGTATAGTCTTCATTTCTGAGTGGTCCTTTTCTTAAAATATATTTTTATTGATTTTTTGGAGAGAGGAAGGGAGAGAGAGAGAGAAAAAAAATCAATGACAGAGAGAAACATTGATTGGCTGCCTCCTGCATGCTGCCGACTGGGAATTAAGCCCACAACCCAGGCACGTGCCCTGACCAGGAATTGAACTGAGACCTCTCAGTCCATGGGATGCTGCTCAATCCACTGAGCCACACCAGCTGGGCTGAGTAGTCCTTTTTTATGCTGTTGATATTCTCACTAAGTTCTTTGTGCATCCTTATAACCAGTGTTTTGAGCGCTGCACCTAGTAGATTGCTTGTCTCCGTTTTTGTTTAGTTCTTTTCCTGGAGTTTTGTTCTGTTCCTTCATTTGGGACCTGTTTCTTTGTCTGCTCCTTTTGGCTGCCTCCCTGTGTTTGTTTCTATGTATTAGGTAGGGCTGCTATGTC